AGTGCCTAGATGGGAGACCTCCTGGGAAAACTAGGGTGCTGCTGGAAGAGGTGTTAGTGAGGCCAGCAGGGGGTGCTCACCCTGTGGTCTGTGTGGGTCATAACGCCCCAGTGTAGTGATGGGGACACTATACTGTCAGCAAGCACCGTCCTTCGGATGAGACGTTAAACCTAGGTCTTGACTCTCGGTGGTCATTAAAAATCCCAGGATGTCCTTCGAAAAAAAGAGTTGGGGTGTAACCCTGGCCAAATTTACCCACTGGCCTCTGTCCATCATCATGGCCTCCTAATCATCCCCATACACTGATTGGCTTCATCACTCTGTCTCCTCTCCACCAATAAGCTGGTGTGTGGTAGTCGTTCTGGTGCACTATGGCCGCCATCGCAACATCCAGGTGGATGCTGCACATTGGTGGTGGTTGAGGAGATTCCCCCTTTCTATGTAAAGCGCTTTGAGTACCCAGAAAAGCGCTATATAAATGTAAGGAATTATTATTATTATATATACACTACCGCTCAAAAGTTTGGGATCAGTAAGACTTGTAATGTTTTTTAAAGAAGTCTCTTAAGCTCATCAAGGCTGCATTTATTTGATAAAAAATACAGAATACAGAAATCTTGCAAAATGTTATTACAATATAAAATAATGGTTTCTATTTTAAAATCCTCTAAAATATAATTAATTTCTGTGATGCAAAGCAGAATTTCCATCAGCCATTATTCCAGTATAAAGTGTCACATGATCCTTCAGAAATCATTCTAATATGCTGATCCGTTTTCAGTTTTTTTCTGTATTTTTGATCAAATAAATGCAGCCTTAATGAGCATAAGATACTTCTTTAAAAAACATTACAAGTCTTACTGATCCCAAACTTTTGAGCGGTAGTGTGTAGATGTATATGTATATGTATATATATATATATATATACACACATACACACACACACACACACACATACATATTTATATATATTGTGTGCTCTGATTGGCCAGCTATCCAGTGCGTTGTGATTGACCGAATACCTCAAGCGTGTGACGGAAATGTTACGCCCCTTACCATACTGTGATGCCCTGTCTGGCCGGAGCGATGAGACAAAAACATTCAAACCCATTATAAACGAGGCCGCGTACACATAAAACCATGTCTGCATTTGTGATCGGAGAAATGACAAACAACAAGCGCTACTCTACACTGCTCAAAACTCACGTTTGAATCGTCAGTGGCAAATTCTTTATATATAAAAAACGTATTTACAGACTGTTAGTCAGAACAGCCGGCATTGTAGTCTACTCTACCAGGATCAGGAAACAGTCCTCCATAAAATGTGCTGCACACATCTGAATATTTGGGTTGAACAGTGTTGTAAATCGTCCTCTTTTGGAAGGTCAAACAAAGTAGTTTCACTTTCACAACGAAACACAGCGTCTTCACAACATGGCGGAAGCAACAATACTACAGCGAGAATAAAAGCTATGCCTTCTTTCTTTGCGTGAACATTTGGGCGGCGTTATGCAAATCTTCCCACATTGTGACGTAGACATGTGGGGGCGTGTTAGAACGAGCCGTTTTAGGTAGGTGTGGTTGACTCTTAACTTTGATAAAGAATATCTCTTTGGATTTGAGACTTTAGTCTTTGCAACTTTACAGATCTTCTTTATGCACCAAGAGCTTGTAACACTCCAAAGAGAAAGGAAAAATTGAAATCGCATCATATGACCCCTTTAAATTATGCCTCCATTACTTCGTTTTTTTGACCCAATCAAAAGTGCCGCTAAGAGGCGCTAACTTTTATGTTTGGCTTTAACAGGTCCTGACTGACTTTCAGACAAACACAAATAAGCTTTTACTTTTTGTTTCATTTAATTTTGTTTTGCAAGCATGTGCTCATTTTTTATATATTTAGCACTCTCGCTTTTTTGCTAATATAAGGCCTCCGTGGGGGTTCTCAGCTTTAAGACCCTGCGCCCCCATTATCAAAATGAAGCCATCATGAAGGGAGCATACCTTCGGGATGTCCTTCTGATATCTGCCTACTTTCTCTTGAAAAATGGCAGGGTTAAGAGGTCGGCTGGTCCCCGTCTGCCGCCGAACAGGAGGCTTAGTCTGGCGGGTGGAATGGAGCGAAGACTTCAAACCGCGGGTGAACGGGTGAGTGCGAGCGAGGGTGAAGAGAGAGAAGCTCCAGGGAGGCCAGAGGAGGGGAAGGGCAGGACAAGGCCTTGATTTCCCGTGGAAGCACAACAAAGCCTCTGCTTTTTAGAGAAAGCAGCGATGGCCCTCTCCCTGACACCTCTTAGAAGTGTGCGTGTGTGCTCACGTTGCGTGGCAGAGAGGATAAGCCATCCACGCTAAAGCATTTGGCACTTCTGAGGAGCCAGCTGAATCTCCCGGCTTTAGGACAACTTTCTGGGGTTTGCTATCACCGGCGGCTTCAGGGGGATCTGTTCTTCAAATGCACATAAATTCAAAGCACCAAGGAGAAAAAAAGGCTTTCAATCAGAACAATTATAATCTCAGTCTGAAAACACAAAACATCTGTGAAATTTATTTTTATTTATTTATTGTTTAAGTAGAGACTAAAATTGAAATTTTGGATGTGTATTATAAATTACTACCTAACTATTGTTAATTTTCATTAATATTCTCAATTTTATTGTTACTATGCCAAATGAATTTAAAAGTTATTCAATTCTTAACAAAAAGTTAAATCATTTGATCTATTAAACTGAGTTTAGAAAGCACAAAACATTTTTTAAATAAACGACAGCTTAAAATGTTAACAGTACCCAACATCTTGCATATCCATGATTAGTTTGCAAATATATCTAAAAAAGGAGGTGAAAGGCAAAGGAATGTAACCATGAACGGTGCACTAAACCATTTCACAGCGGGTGTTAATTGCATGATAATTAAGCATGGCAACAGTCAAGCAGGAGAAGCTAAAGATTAATCATCGGCCAATTAAATGCCCACGGTGAGGAACGTGAGGCCCCTCAGAGACGAGAGATCTCCACTGTGATCTGAGCTATCAGCACAGCGGCACAACATCAGATCACTGGCAAAAGATCCTTTTCAAAAATCTCCTCATTTATGTCAGCCTTTTTGGAATCTTTGTGGATGCCGTAGCCATCTGGTAATTGATAACAAGAGCAACTTGCGTTAGGTGCAGGTGCTGGGTTTGAAAGCAACGACTTCAGATGAAGAGAATTTGCTGCGTGCTGAGACTTCATATGGTGGCATCAGTGAATGGAGTGGATTGCAAAGGGAACAAGGCTGTAGAGGGACTGAAATGCCTTAAAACGGTTTAATTCCAGTGTGATATATATATATATATATATATATATATATATATATATACACACATTACTGTTCAAAAGTTTGGGATCAGTAAGACTTGTAATGTTTTTTAAGTCTTATGCTCATCAAGGCTTTCGATCATTTATTTGATCAAAAATACAGAAAAAAAACAGAAATCTTGCAAAATGTTATTACAATATAAAATAATGGGTTCTATTTTAATATACTTTAAAATATTAGAATTATCAATGTTGGCAACAGTCATGCTGCCAAATATTTTTGGGGAAACTGCAAAACTTTTTTCAGGATTATTTGATGAATAAAAAGTTCAAAAGAACAGCATTTATTCAAAATATAAATCTTTTCTAACAATATAAATCTTTGCTATCAATTTAACACATCCTTGCTGAATAAAAGTTTTAATTTCTTTCAAAAAAAACTTTTGAACTGTAGTGTATATTGTTAGAAAAGATTGCTATTTTAAATAAATGCTCTTCTTTTTATTCATCAAAGAATCCTGGAAAAAAAGTATCACAGGTTCCAAAAAATATATTAAGCAGCACAACAGATTCCAGCACTGATAATAAATCAGCATATTAGAATGATTTCTGAAGGATCATGTGACACTGAAGACTGGAGTAATGATGCTGAAAATTCAGCTTTGCATCACAGGAATAAATTACATTTTAATGTATATTAAAATAGAAAAACGTTATTTCACATCATAATAATATTTCACAATATTACATTTTTTCCTGTATTTTTGATCAAATAAATACAGCCTTGATGAGCATAAGAAACCCCTGCAAAAAACAAAATATCGCTCTGATCCCAAACTTTTGACCGGTAGTGTGTGTGTGCATATATATATGCATACACACACGGTTTTATTTACAACTTCAAAATAAATATTTATGCAACTGAATAAAGTGGAAGGACAACATATGATGAATGTGATTTTAAAAAATAACATTCTAAGAAACAAAATATATATACTGAGATATATCAGTATACACAAATATATGAATATAAATTTATATTTATATTATTACTGAAACACAAGAGGGTTTACTAGAAACAGGGAATGTAGTATATTAACCTGGTTTCAGAAACTCACAAGGGCAAGGCCAACACCTCATATTCCAAATATTAAAGAATCAAAGTTTGTTTATTGTGTAGTTTATCCTCTCCTTATCCAGTATAACGTAAATGTGCCCACCTCAGAGAAAACAAAAAGCTGTGTATTTGAATAGGTCTATTACAGTATGACAGTAAGAAAGACAAACATGGTGATGTAAAACAAGCAAAGGAAAAATCTGGCTTCAGAGGAAAAGCGTCTCATTAAGGTTTGATGTGTGCGGGGTGGATTCTTCATGGGCAGGTAAAGTTATGAATAACTAAACAAGGACATCTGGCAAAAAACACAGGCCTGCTCTCCTTGGCCCAAGTGGTAGTTGCAAAAAATACACTCTGAATTAACCACAGTGGAAATGTCAACGACCTTAGGTGGGTTTTGAGTTGAAGAACCAAGCTTCAGACCACATGTGTATGTGCGCGTGTTTATGTGAAGAAGACAGAGGCCAATGACAGCACTCGCGCAATACACGCGCATTGTGTGAATACTTTCATTGGCCTCTTTCTTCTTATACCAAACAAAGCATTTATAATGCTTTGCTTGGTATAAGGACTTTTTTAATACTCACAAAATCTTTCTCAAGTTTCTCCATCTCTTGCTTGTAGCTCTTCAGACGGCTGTTGTACATGCCTCGGCTCTGAATAGGGATCTCTCGAACCTCCAGGTCCATCTGTTCGAGCTAGAAACATCAATTAAATTCAGTGTAAACAATCAAACTACTTCCCATACCATTTTGATACAAAACAATTCAACTGTCTAGCTAGTTTACTGTCAACCGGAGGCAGCGCAGAGGCATTGATTCAGGCACCCGGCAAATCAAGTCATGTTAGGAGGTGCGGCTTCATTAAAACCTCTGGCGCGGTTGAGCTCTGACAACTACGACATGTGTCCGTGTCACATGTGAGCAAACCGGCGTGCACAAAAGGGCTCCGCTGATTTACACTGTCCAATCAACATGACATGATGGGACAATTTACATGCAACACACATCCCTCCTTTCGGCACCTGCCACGGCGCCTTCCCCCAATAATGGCGTGAAATGTGTCACGCGGTGTCACTTAAAAAGCGCATTATGTGGATGTGATCACACCGTTAGCACCGAGCAGCCTTCAGCCAGATGAAGAGTGTCTCATGTCACCGGCGACATTGCAGGTGTTGTTTATGCAGGGGGGAAATTTTTCCAAATTCATTATTTAGAAAACGAGTGAGTGGAAATTACTGATCAAAGACCCACCAACTCTCTGACTTCTTCAAGCTGTTTGTCGACATTTAGAACCAGCTGTGTCTTCTCCTCTGAAAGAGAAAAAGAGGAAAACATATTGATCAGTGGATGGAGGAGCTGTGCTTCATGACAACAGCCCGACTCCCCCGCAACAACAAGGGAGCAAATAAAAACAAGCCTGCATTTGAAGATATATTTACACATTCTCAACGCACAAAGATCCATATTTGATGTGTCTTATTTTTCCACGTGTAAACGCCTTTGTTAGTTTGTGAAGAAGCGCAGAGACGCCTCTTGGCAACTCAAAAGAGGAGAGAGAAGTCAGCTCCGCCAAACTCTGCCATTCTGCCACCCACTCGGAACGACTAGAATGAGGTTGTATTGGTTTTATCCACTGGTACGAGCCAGGCCAAAGTATAGAGCATGACCAAATTTCCCTTTCATAATTTGCATCTACATCACCTCACTAATGTTCATTTGGAAGATGATATAAATGCTGTACATTGTATCTAACTCTCCAAGCATGTTCATCTAAAAATAAGAGAGGCTGTAATCTTAGGTGTTGTTAGGAACCGCACAAAATGCTAAAAAGTAATGACAGCAATACTATACTATACTACTTTGTTAAAAAATAAAAATAAATAAATAACAAAAATAATAATAAAAAAAATAAAAGACACTAACATAAACTGCTTTTATGCGACAAGCAATTTTAGGCATCAGTGCATTATAGTATTTAATTGAAAATAATTACAGAATAATAAAATAAAATAAAAAATAATAAAATATCAAAAATAATTAGTTTTGGGTATGTATGATTTTTTGAAAGTAATTAATACATTTATTCAACAAGGATTCAATAAACTGATCAAAAGTGACAGTAAAGACATGTATAATAATGTTACAAAAGATTTCCATTTCAAATAAAAGCTGTTCTTGTGAACTTTCTATTCACCATAGGCCTGTTGCAATAATCAATATATCGACTTATCGTGCAATATGTACATGACCTCAATCATTTTTGGTGACGCAATATATCGGCTATTATATTTACTTAAAAATTAATGTCACCGTGTTTTTTACATTCCACCTGCGCCTGTGTCTTTTGCAGCTTCTCGTACATAACGTGGTGTAGTCATGAGGTGCTAGTTCAAATTTAAAAAACGCTTCTACAAAAAAAAAGTTTTATCTGAAGATATGGCCTTGTTTAGGGACATGTGCCTTTGTGCATACGGATATCTGACTGCTAAGTAGTGATTGTGTTTTTCAGCAAAAGTGTGCACCCTTAATTTACAGAGAAGGTCCGGGAAAAATCTGTAGATGGAAAAATCTCCATACAAGTTATTTGCGCATTTTTCTTTTTTGTACTTGTTACTTTGTACTTCTCGTTAGAAAATGCTTTTTTAAAGTTTTCTAAGGCATCTAATATTTTGATACTTAATTTCCATGATCTAAATATTCTTAAAAATGTAAAGTTTGTTGTCATTTGGAAGTGTGTAGGCCTTCTTGCATTATTATGCTGTTACATTATGATTATATATTCAGTGGCATAAAATGGTCTTTAAAATGACAATAATATCGCAATATATCGCAGAACAAAAACTTGTTATTGTGACAGGCCTACACCATACAATACTAAAAAAAAAAGTATCATGGTTTCCAAAAAATATTAAGCAGCATAACTGTTTTCATAATAATACGAAATGTTTCTCGAGCACCAAATCAGCATAATAGCTATAATAATAGCTGCTGAAAATGCAGCTTTGTCATCACAGTAATAAATTACGTCAAAATATATAAAAATAGAAAACACTTATTTTAAATTGTAATATTTTTATTAAATTATATACATATATACACACATTGTTTTTACATTATAGTCCCTAACTTAATATCTGTTACTACACCACATATTTTAGTACAGCTGAAATGATGTCTTGACCAGTTAGCATCCAGAACCAGAACTATTCATTTATAATACGAATTTTGTAATGATAGAAGCACACTATAAATAAATAACCCTGTGAAAGAACATCAGTATATCTACTGATCAAACAAGACCAGCGAAGCATATCAAACCATGTCAAGCGATAGCACTAATCATGAAGAAAAAAAACATTAAGCGATATCAAACGGGAAGCTGTCAATAAGCTAGAAACTAAAGTGAACTTCTGTTTTGCCCTTTGGCTTTCATGTCTTTTGGTGGTCATCAATCCATTTTTAAAATCCGTGTGCAACCTCACAGCCCACACAGTGTAAACAGCCAGGGGCGATTCTCTACAAGGTGAGCAAACACTGGGGCCTCTCTATTCACCCCTGGCATAAGGCAGGTTGAAATATATATCTCACTATTGCAGGTGCATGGGGCAGTACCACAAGGTTAGGTGCTCTTTGGGCAAAGCGTTGCACTGAGAAAAGTTCGACTTGTAGACGCATCTTTGCATCTCTTCTCAATTTTTCATTGTGTGTGACTGACAGCTCTTTCTCTTTGTGCAAATCTACCTAAAAAAAAACACGCACATTTATGTTTAATGGAGCAAGGCCTTGCATTATTTTCAAATTCATGTTTCGCAACTACAAGTTTTGCACTGTTCAACAAAACAAAACATCTTGGAGATTCTCAAGTGAATGAATGCGGTTTGTTGAGTGAAAAAAAAATGGCCAAGGGCATTACATCTATCCACTGGTCTTTATCAATGTTTCTACACATGTGACACTGTACAATGCCATGAGAACAACAGCATAAGCCGCTTTGTTGAAGCCACTGTTGGTCGCAAACAAATTTGCGTACCTAGGAAAGAGAAAAGGCAATTTTTTTATGGGCATAATTGTGGTTTGAATTCAAGAGCCGAACTCCTCTGGCAACACTGAGGAAGGTTTGGCCATCACTAATGAGTATGCTTTGCTTATGGCTTTGTTCATATTCAGTGGACTTATTTAAATGCATTTAGCAGCTGGTGGTGGGCCGGTCTGATGACACACTGTTTGTTTCTGCCAAGCTCTGAAGAAGCAATTTAAGCTTCAACAATTCACCACATTACACATTCTCATTCTTTTCAATATGCTTAAATAATGCATAGAAAAGCCAATCACGTTGCAATTGTTTGACAGCGCTTACCGAACTGAGCACACGCTGCTGTACGATTTTGAATAAGTGATTAATCCTTCTCACCTTTTGTTGACGTACAATAGAAGCACCGAGCGAGTACATCAGGTTATTCGATTATTATGAGACCAGACCTCTGAGGATTAATACTGACTGAAAGCAATCATTTACATTAAAAGTCACCAGACTGTATGAAAGTAACCTTTCATTGCCTTTCACTGACTTCTAGTTTCAATCCTGCAAAGTCAGAACAAGATCTTGAATTAATTTTATGTATTGGATTTTGAACTGAAACTGAACTGCATTTCTGAAGTTCACAACATGAGTAAAACAAAAAGTTGTATCAACTTCAAAAGCATCCTGAGGAGAATTTCCAGAGGATAGACCATATCTAGCAATACCACACTTTTGCTTCCCTGAACAGTTCAAAAAGGGCAAACAAGCATAGAGAAACACTGAAAACAATCAACTCAAGCAAACGTTGACATTGCTCTCGGCCATACGATTGTATCAGACATCTCAGAGCATTTCAAACAAATACATTCAGAAATTTTGTCTCTTTAAATTTGTTATGTGCACTCAAGAAATAAATTAAAAGACATAATAGTTAAACAATTATTACAAGGAAGTATCAAAATATCAAGACATAAGCCAATTAGCAAGAGTGCTCTAAAAAAAAAATCAACACATAAGGAAAGAGGCTTATGCTTTAAAAATGCCATCATTGCACAGCAGAACAATGTACACTAACGTTCAAAAGTTTGGGCCATAAGATTAAGAAAGTAAGAAATTAATACTTTTATTCTGCAAGAAAGCATTAAATTAATCAAAAATAACATTTTGAACTTTTTATTCATTTCCATTTATTCGTGAAAAAACAAACTTCTTTCCACAAAAATATTAAGAAAAACAGTTTTAAACACTGATAATATAAGAAATGTTTGAGCACCAAGCCAGCATATTAGAATGATCTTTGAAGGATCATGTGAAAAATAAGACTGGAGTAATGATGCTGAAAATTCAAATAGAAATCAGTTTTAAAATTGCAATAATATTTCACAATATTACTGTTTATTGTATGTTTGATCAAATACATCAAGCCTTAGTGAGCATAAGAGACGTGTCAAAAATATTTAATGGTCACACTTTAGTTTGGGGACCAATTCTCACTATTAACTACAACTCCTAATTTGCTGCTTATTAATAGTTAGTAAAGTAATTGTTAAGTTTAGGTATGGGGTAGGATTAAGGGATATAAAATATGGTCATAGAGAATAAGGCAGTAATATGTGCTTTATAAGTAAGAAACAGCCAATATGCTAGTAATAAGCATGCTAATAAGCAACTATTGTGTAACTAATAGTGAAAACCGGTCCCTAAAAGTGTTACCCATTTAAAAAAAAAAATCTTACCAACCCCAAACATTTGAACAATAGTGTAGGGTATACGTGTATATAGTTCATCTGCTGTGTAAAATATATAAAAGGAATAAATATTACGCAGGTTTATATTTCATTCTATTCTTGATTTCAGATGTTTTATTTTCTGCTTTCTTTTGTTATCCGTTCATACAAACCTCTGCTATCGTCCTACCATTCAGCCAAATAATATCAGACAGACCCTAAGAGCATGGAACATATTTCTTATGGGCTTCTGGGACACTGTTATGACTGGAAAGAAAATCCTTTATAAACACAGGTTTGATGATGTTTTCTAATAAAGTTATTTTTAGACCCTCTGAGCGTTCTCTCACCTATCCAACATCACACTTATCTCATAGCATCGTCCCCATGGCAACGTATTCATCTGATCTGAGAAATGAAACGCTCATAGCAAGTAAAGCAGCAGTAGCTTTACAGATGCAGAAGTAGACTTATGACAACCTGAAATCCTGAAGGGTCCCAGCTGGAGCACATTTTTAACATTGTGATTAAGCTGTCCATCTTTAGCATTGAAATTTTGACATAAAGTGCACCTGTGTACATTTCTATGTGATACAGTATACAGTATCTATGCTGACCTAGTAAAGGGGGATACAACAGGGGTCCACAACCTCTAGGGGCTCAATGGCGGTACTGCAGGGGACCACCTGAATTTTTAGCATCCATTACTCCAGTGTCACATGATCCTTCAGAAATCATTCTAATATGCTGATTTTTTTGCTCAATTAGTATCAGTTTGTATTGGTCCTCAATTATTAAGATGCTTTTGCTACTTAATATGTTTGAGGAAATGGTGATACATCTTTTTCAGAATTCTTTGATGAATAGACAGTTCAAAGAAATATCTTCACTGTCATTTTTGACCATTTTAATGTGCACTTGGTATTTTTAATAGTAGTGTTTCACGGTTTCCACAAAAATATTAGATAACAAGAAACATTGACAGTAGTAAGAAATATGTCTTGCACACCAAATCAGCATATCCAAAATGATTTCTGAAGGACCACGTGACAAGTCCTGAAGGATCATGACACAAGTTTAGCTAAACATATTATTGTTCCTCAATAATATAATAAAATGCTAAAGTATATGACTAATGTAATCATCTTAATAAAGTGTCAGAGTAAATAAAATCTGATACTATGGTAATGTTAGACAGTCGGGCTTGAAATGCAACACTAATTCTTACACAATATGTCCCATCTCTCAATCCTTGGCCTGAAATATGTAAAAGATGTCTGACCTACTGTATTCAATTCTTTAGGTCTGACAATATTTACTGTTGTTGTGTTATGTTCATAACAGCAGCTTGGGAATAATGACATTTTATGTTTAGTCTATTTCACAATAGAGAATAATGAATACAATTAACCCCATAAAAATGACAGCTGTCGTTGTCAATTATAGTAATGTCAACAACACAGACAGGGTGTCAAAACAGTATCTTGCATCTCTGTCTCTCTGTATATTGTTTGTACTGTGTGCTGTTTAATGCTGTGAGCTCCAAACTTGTATTCTTCTCTACTTCAGCCAACTCTTAAACTCCAACAAACACAACATGACATCCAAGATCTGTCACCCAAATCCTGTATCCTCACACATCACTGGAGACTCTGACACACTGGATATCCGACACCATGACCCTCACGAAACCATAGCCCATTTGACAAATGATATGGGACGTTTCTAAATAATATACCAACCAGACACACCAACAGAAGGAATGAATCATTCAATTATTTGTTTAGGTCTTCCTGACATGAATGTTTTGCTAGTAACTTAGCTCATTTACCAGCTACTTACCACCGGCTAGTTTGGGTATTCTTCCAATTTTGTTGGTTATTTCCGCGGTGAGGGTGCCAAAGTCCTGCTCGTACGCTTCAAAATCCGAAGACATGTTGTATTTTTGTTTTAAAAGATTAAAAGAGGGATGAACTGTGCTGCGTTACACACTGTTGCCTGTGTCTGCTTCTTATTGACGTCCGCGTCACTTCCGGGTGGTGTCACGGGAATTTGTTCACGATCTCTTCCTGTAAATGGTTCCGCTGTGGTGTGATTCGCGCGCGCGCGTGTGTATTGTCTTTCTCGGTGAATAATGTTTTAGTTATTTTAAAAATATATTTCGCTTCTGACAATATTACGGGCGTTTAATAGCAAGGTCACTGATTCATATTAAGCGTGACTTTCAGTTTTTCTTGGACTCTGATCGCACAAGGAAATGTCGAGGTAAGTTAGGTGTTATCGATACATTTTTCATTTTCAAAACAATCTCTTCAGTAATCAAAGCTATATATGTTGCTGCCGTCATAATGAAAGATACAAAACTTCATATATGTCTCTATTAGTAACCTTGACCTTTTTCGAGGCATATGTTATTGATAAGGTCTGATATCTTATGGATTGGTCATTATAAAGATAAAGCTGATTTCTACAGTCAGCCTCTATTTTCTTCTGTATTTTAATGTAATATTATATGTAGAATTACACTGAATGGATCAGATTGCATTTAAATGGGATGTTGAGTAATAGAGAACCGGTCAGTTCATGCAGACTGACAACAACTTGATAGAGTTTCTGAGTTTCTTCTGGTGCTGGACATGTTAAAAATCTTATGTTGTTTGTTTAAACACAAGCCAAAGCTAAGAAGAATCAAATCAAGTATGTTTAACCTAAATGATGTAATACAGGAGCATAGAAACAAAGCTTTGGGTGTGCCATGAGAACACAAGAAATGCAACCACTGAAGCACAATAATTGACATGTAACATTAACCATTGCATTCTCTGAATAGTCCTCATTTCTCTTTAGCCCTGCTTTATGTTATAATGACATCACTAAACAAGCTGGGCTGTTTTATTTAGACATAGAAATAGTGACGTAGAACACAAATGGATAAGCATAGTATTATTGCATTTTTGTGCCGTGAAGACAGTTGGCCTAGCCTTTAGCAAAAATGTACTTTTAAAAAATAGACAATGTCACATTTGAATTTGTTCACATTCCATATGAATAAAAGAATGAAGTGACAGTGACAAGTTTGGAAGTGATAAAATAATGAATATTCAAGAAATACCAAAGTAGGTAGTAGATAACAAAGTAGATAGATAGATAGATAGATATGAATGGGTAAATAATATTAGATAGATAGATATGAATGGATAGATAGATAGATAGATATGAATGGGCAAATAATATAGATAGATAGATAGATAGATAGATAGATATGAATGGGTAAATAATATAGATAGATAGATAGATATTGGTAAATACGATCCTGAATATGATCTGTCTGTCGATAGATAGATAGATAGATAGATAGATATGAATGGGTAAATAATATTAGATACATAGATATGAATGGGTAAATAATATTAGATAGATAGATATGAATGGGTAAATAATATTAGATACATAGATATGAATGGGTAAATAATATTAGATACATAGATATGAATGGGTAAATAATATTAGATACATAGATATGAATGGGTAAATAATATTAGATAGATAGATAGATATGAATGGGTAAATAATAT